AGTATCTATAATCTCTGGTTACTATAAGTTACTGTAAGTACCTATAATCTACTTCTACGATCACTTTGTATACGGTCCGTGGTGTTGAAACAGCTAGGGATTGTATTGTTGTATATACTATATATAATAAGTAGAGTTAGGTTGTTTATGATTTTGCATTTTTTTTTTTTTTGGTGTTCCAATAGCATCCATTCAAATATGTTTCATGATATCTATATTCAAAATATCAACATTTTATTTTGCATATAGAACCATATATTTACCATTTTTTATTTATAAGTGCATAATTAGTGTTTTTTCTATTTTTAAACGCATATTTGACGGTTTTCAGTGCAAAATGCTGTAAAATAATTAAAATAATTTTATATTTTACTGAATCTTATATAAGTTGTATTATCTGTATTTCACAAATTATCACTTATTTATTGTTGAGAATTCAATATGGTTATACCTATACGGAGTAAAGGTAGGTACCTACTTAAATAGAATTTACGTAAATTTTTCCAAAAAAAAAATTTTACTTTAATTTTACATCTCTATTAATTACAAACACAAAAATATCGTCATTCAACTTAAATTTATGTAGAGCATTGACTTCAACTAACATACCATTAAATAAGCGCATTATGCAAAAATTATTTATCAATTTGTTATCAAAAGACAATGAACGAAATAAAAAAAAAATTGGAAACAACTTTATTTAAGTACGTTGTAGTTGATGAGACCACTGATGGTTTATACATCACTCATTTACTTGTGGGTGTCCTAAACAAGGAATATGCAGGGCGGCCTTATCTTTTGGCATCCAAACAATTAAATAAAACGAATAACGAAATTATTAGTCAATTCATAAACGACTCATTAAAATTATTATAGACCGATGTAGGCATGGAAAGACGCGTATTACTCTTATTAACAGACTCTGCTCCATACATGGTAAAATCAGGAAAATCTTTGAAGTTGTTTTATTCTAATATGGTACACACACACACACACATATATATATATATAATATATATGTATTGGCTTGTATTGCACATGCTATTGTAATCTAATTGCTGAAAAACTTCTTGAATTATTTCCAAATATTAATATTTTAATCAATAATGGTAAAAATAATGGTAGGGACAGACGTGGATAGTCGTTGCTTTATATTACAAGGAATATTTTATAAAATACCAAAAGGTAATTGAAAATCTTGCAGAAGACAAGGAACAATTTGTTAAAAAAGTACTTGATATTATTTAAGATAGATCGGTTGTGAATGAATTAACATTTATATCAACTCACTTGTCATTTTTACTTGAAATAATTAAAAAACTAGAAACATCAAATTCAGATATGTTGAGTGTACTCCTTAATCCTTATGGAGTAAGTCAGTAAGTCACTGTAATGTATATTATATTCATTTATATTGAAATTGAAAATTCTAAGTAATTTTAGAGTGTCAAGAAAAAAAAAGTGGTAATTTTGATGCAAAACCAATTTTTGTAAAAATCGATTTTATTTTTTTTGGTTTAACTCAAAAACTAATAACCGCAGACCTTTGGAATTTTCACCAGAGTAGTCAATAATCTCTTGATTTTTATGAAATGGTGATATTTTTCAGAATATTAAAAAATAACAAAATTTTATCTTATCGTTCTAAGTTCATCGTACTTATTCAATTTAATATTTCTATTGATGGACAAAAATAAATAATTGAAAAAAATCAAAAATTGCCAACGGCACGTAGTGTTCCCAAGCGGTCACCCATCCAAGTACTAGCTACGCCCGACATTGCTTAACTTCAGTGATCGGACGAGAACTGGTGTATTCAACGTGGTATGGTCGTCGGCGAATTTTGGAAGGAAAATGACAATAATTAAATAAAATTAATTTGTTGACGTTTTATACGGTTTGACACAATGAAGCTTATTAGGTGTGCTGTAGAAGCGACGTAGTGTAGTATACCCACAGATACAAAGTAGTATACCTATATCTGTGAGTATACCGGATAGCCATAATATTATAAGTGTACGCCAGGCCCTATTATTTGTAAAATTTCGGACTGCACATTTCATTTTATTCTCTCTACCATTTTAGCAAAAGGATTGTATTAAATAATACATATTACATATATAATATATATATTATATACCATATGTATACAATAATTTAACAATGCAATTCAATAAAAGAACAAAATACTTATCTTTTAATAAAAAATCATAAAAATTAAATAGCATAATATAATAATAAAAACCTTAACTTAACTTTTTAATAATTAAAATCATAACAATGCATATTACTTTCTTGATTTTTCATCAAGTAAGTATGGTAATTGAAAACTGGTACTTTGAAAACTTCAAGAATTTGTGTTAAATAGGAAAATAATAAAAATGTAACTCAGTAATGATGAATAGGTGGGTAATTTAGCTAGCTTTAATATAAAATATTAATAAGAGAGATTTTATATCACACCCAAGCGGTATACCCAATTTGAATCGATAAAAACATTCGCGTGAACAGTCCCAAAATTTCTATTTTTTAACTTGTATCCTAAACTATGATACCTAGCTAGAAATTTGGTTGATAACTCATTAAAAAGGGATTATCAGGTAGACACTAAATGTGGAATTAAATTTTTTTTTTAATTATTTAATTTTTCGCAGATAAAAAAAAAAGTTATTTTCTCTAGATTTTCATTTAGAGATGTAGATCTCCGAAACTGGAGAACGGATTTTGTTGTTTGGGGTCTTGTTAAATTCACATTTACTAGGAGAATTGCAGTGAAGATTTTTCAGAACTTTATCTAAAATCGTTAATTCATTACAAAGCTGTAAAGATGAAAAACATAAAAAAACGCCCAATAAAATTTGTTTTAATTTATTTTAATGTTCTGTAGTGAATTAACTATTGAAGATAAAGTTGTGCAAATCTTCACTGCACTTCTCCTAACCAATGTGAATCTAACAAGACCAAAATCCGCTGTCCGGTTTCGGAGATCTATCTCACTAAATGAAAATGAAAATGATTTTTTGAGGGGCTGTTCACGCCGACATTTTTCTGGATTCATATTGTTTGACCGATTGGGTGTGATTAAATCAGTTAAAAAAATTTCTAAAAATTCAAAATCAAGAAAGTTTACATGCCGATCCCTGACTTGGCAATTTTTGTTTTGTAGACCGAAGTGCACACACGTTCAAATCGTAGTGCACACTTGTATATTCGTAGTGCACATTGTGTGTCGTGGTGCACATAAAAATAGGGCCTGAGTGTACCTATCTATATAGTATAGGTATATATGAATGTATTTATTTTTTCAACATAAGGAAATACTTAAATGACAAATACTGATTAATGATTATATAATATATACTATTAGACGTACCTATACAATTTATAGGTAAACATTCAACCTATAGAAATGTATTGCAACCCCGACAGTTTAGCTCAATTTACGCCACTGGACGCCGTCATACGGTGTGTTAGCTATATTTCTGAGTTCAACAGGAATTTAAAACACGGTTTATTACTACTTTATTAACAAAACAATTATTATAACCAAAGATTTTAACACTTTCACGTCGTTTACACCTATCCAAAACAGTCTTGTGCGTGCAGCACACTTCCAAAATCCAAACCGAATAACTGGCAACTGCATTCCATCACTTCAAGGAAACTATGAAGAATGTACAATGTACATAGGTGACTGGTACGTCTTGTACAAATCTAATAATATAATAATATATTTATTACACAACATAATACCTAATAGAAGGGAATAAACCAATAAAATTTATTTTAAATATGGATACAATGATTTTACTTATCTATAATATGATTGAAATAATTGTTTATTCTGAAATTGTACACTTATATATTATATTTAATACTAGGTATTATATGTTTAAACATATTACAAAATAAACATTATTTTTTTTTTTATATAATTGTAAGATAAATTGATAAAATTAGGTAGGTAGGTACTTGCTATTTTAATACATATCTATAGACTATAGAACCAGATGAAAACATTGTATTATAACTATAAAGATGTACAGGTATATTGTTTTAACACACACAACAGTAGGTAGTTAAGTATTATTTAATTTATAACAATTTATGCATACAAAGTTTGCTTAAAATTTTAGTGAAAAATAAATATTTTATATAAAAAGTATAAAAATTTACTAAATACCAATTCCAATAAATCTAGATTCAAAATAAGTATGTTCGGCACATTAAAAACTAATAAAAATGGAAGTATTTAAAACAAATGGAATTATTATACACAAAATTAACATAGGTAACAAAATAATAGAAAATGTAAATAAAATTGTAAATAGAAAATGTTTGCATTCATTAATAATAATTAATTAATTAAATATGTTGGTAGTAACTATTATAATGATTACCTATGTTACTAATTAAATGTGTTTATAATGGAAGTTTTGCTTATGTACCTATGTATTATGTATAGGTATATTTATGTTAAAAATAATTATAAGCTAGATTTTATGGAACATTCCAATCTATACTGTTATAATATTGGAGCCAACTGGCAGGTATAAATAAACATATGTATACATCAAATGTTTACATTTTTAAACAAATTTAAATTAATACCACAAATAATATAGCTAGCTGTAAGGTAGGTACTGTTATCTGTTGGTTTTTAAAAAATTAACACATTATGGCTATTTTCATAAAACCTATAACAACTTTTTAGTTTTTAGTTGAAGGTTAAAATATTCTTATACCAAATAAAAATATAAATATTATTTTATCGATTTACATGAAAAATTTCCAGATAAAAATATAATATATTATACATAACTCATAAAAATTAGAATACATTTCCGTACATTTATAAATGTAATGACATAATTATTACATGCATATATGCATAGGTAAATCATATGTTCATGATCATATCATGAATAAAATTTGTTAATTTTTTAAATTGACTAGATAATAATAACACAGGCGTATTCTGTTAATACGTTGATTTCAATTTAAGCCGCTTTTAGTTTTTGATTTTTCAGAGCGGCCTTGTCTGGACGTGCTACAACAATAGACAAAAATATATTGAAACATTATAGCAACTTGTTAATGATTAATAAGCTCCATTATAGACAATATTCCAATAAATTATAATAATTAATTACTAACAAGCGTCCAATTTTATCCTAAGTATTTTTTACATAATAATTCTTACGTTGATAGCATTTACTTTTAATATAGATTTAAAGTAGGCACGTTAGATTTATATGTAACTAAGTTTAAATCGCCCTAGCTTCGAAATTACAAATAACACTATAAAATAACAATCAATGTTATTCATTCATGTTGAAAGACAAGACATTATATAAACAATTTGTATTTAAAAAAGTAAAAATGCATCAAACTAAAACCAACATATTCATTGCTCATTTCAGAATCTAAAATATTTAAAAAAAAATATGTTGAAATAGGTATCTAGATGAAACTTTACCTAGATAAAACAATTGGTACTATTACAAGCTATGTAGCAATGTAAGTAGGTATATTTTTATGAATATCAGATAAATAATGGTAACTTTACATGGAATAGTTACTTTAACACCTAGTATATACCTGTATATATTAAATTTACTAATATTCCTCCCTATGTGTATTTTTTGTTATGAATATTATGGTTTATATTGAGTAAATGGTTTTATAAATCATGCAATTATAACCTATGTATAATGATATATGCAACAACTTCTTTAGCTTAAATTAATTTTTCCACTGAATTTCTGATGTCCTTCATTAGTATTTAATGGTTTTTTTTAAAGAAAACTGTTGCTATTCAAAATATTTAATATAATATAATATTTAATATTTAACCGTAAGGCTAATAAATTTAAACAATAGGTAGGTATTTATATTTTACTTGGACAAGATCCTGGAGTGAATATTATATCATCTACAGCAAATCCTCCGTTTGTTGCTTGTCCTTCCATAATTATATGAAAAGGTTTGTTAGATTCAACTGTTACTTGTGCAGGCATCCATGCCGGTCTTGTGGTGTCCATATTCTTTGCTTCTAGACTCCAAATCTATAAAAAATCAATACAAAGACAACTTGTCCCATTTTAAATGATCAAATAAGAAAATATGACATCTTACTTTTTCTGCTGGTGTTTCTCCTGAACTATTGTCTTGTCTCATAATTTGTAACAATGCCGACTCACCAGCACCAAAAGCAGCATACCAGAATGAAAAGCAAAGTTGTGGCTCGTCAGTTACTGGTATGACTGGTGATATTAGCCTTACCATATTTGAACCCAATATTTGGTTAAATAAGTCATAGTATATATAACCATCTGAAATGAAAATATTTTGCTAGATAACATTATTATCAAAAAATACTACAGTTCACTTATTAGTCAACATCTAAATTATGTAATAAAAAGGAAGGTAGATAGTTTTTAATCAAATTGTTAATAGGTATAATTAAACTTTAAATCAAATTATATAAGTAAGTTTTATATGGTAAAAGTGGTAATACTAATGTGGATAATACTAACTTTTCTATGGATAATGGTTATTAGTATAATATAAAATAAGAAAACCAAGGCACACTGTATTCTATAATTTATTTATAATTGTTCATAAATTGTATGTATTTGTAGTTTGTACATGTAGCCATGTACGTTATGTTATATTATAGCCTAACCTATTATCTACGTTTTCCTGCTGTGTCTAGACAAGGTGGACTGTGAAACTAAGATCACTGAGATCTCTGAGATCACTCGTATGGAGGTCTAGGGTTGTATACAATCCATGAACAATTTAAACATTTTTAATTATTTAGACTAATAGGCAGGTAAAAATAATAAATAAAATAAAAAGTACCTAGGGAAAATTGCATGTTGGCAGTTGATTTATTACATAATTAATTTTTTTCTTCTTAACTAAGACAATTGTAATTTGATATATCAATTTCATATTGTATTAAGATGGGTTAGATGGAACAACTAGCTTGAATTGTATATTTGTATTTTAGGGGGTTATTATTTTATTTTATTGAAAAAACAAAAATCCTTTATTATGTAAAATTATATGCTGCTTCTAAATTTCCAATCAGTTTTGTTGTATTATTATTATTAATACATACATTTTTATTAAACATACAAATTGATTTTTGCCCCATCATGGACCATAGCTGAGGTAAGATGGGACATAGGTCTATATTCATAACAAATACAATTAATTTTATAATATATAGGTGATTAAATGTTATTCAAGCTTAAAAACTTTGTTATTGTTTTATTGTCTAAATACATTAATCACATACAATTGATGTACATTAACATTTATCAGGAAAATGAGAGTTATAGTAGGTATTAAGTTTCATATGTATATGGCTATATTATTACTAAAACATTTACTTTAGTATACTAGGTATATTCATAATACAGGTCTTGTTCCATTGTATTTTTTCTCTTTTACGCCAAATATAGTAATATTTTAATTTAACGTGGTTATGTCCACTCTTTTTAAAATAAGGATAAACAAAGTAGCATTATTCAAAACCCAACTAAACCAGACATTAAAAGTTATATAGAAGTACCTAATTTAGTAATTAAGAATAAACAATTTATTTAATTAGATAATTATTCATTATTTGATGTTCGCAAAATATTACATTGGAATATATTGCCATTAAATTCAACACAGTTAACACTGTCACATCACAGAATGTTACACATCACTTGAATTTTTTATTGATATTAAATACAGTCTTTAACGAATTTCGAACTTCTTTAACTCCAAAACATCGATACCTCGAACTTTTTCCCCGGTCCCTAGAATTTCCAACAATTATAATATTATCTTTAGTTAACTAGAATTCTTTAATAACTTGAACTTTCTGCCCGATCCCTTCAACTACGAGTTAAAAACGTTCGATATAGTATTATTATAATGTAACCAACATACAAATTTTTTTGATAAAACATCTTTTCCTAAAACTCAATAGGTAGTTACTACTATGTCCCCCATCTTACATTCTTACCTTTAGTCCTCGTCTTACTCAGATGTCCCCCTATAAACAAATATAACCGGGTTGAACAGCCTCTACATAAGGCCCCGAGGGTCCACTTATAAGAGACCTACAACATACAATACAATATATTTTCGAACCTGGAGCACCAAAAGTCTTATCGGGTAAATTGGAAGGTCTTCTGTTCACCGTAGCCATTCTCCACGAAGCTGGTGATTTATCTGTACCATTTGACCAATCACACATATCACGTTCAAATCTACATTCACCCGGTCGTACTTTTGCTCCCGCCGGAATAACTGCAATAATAGATATCATATTTTCTTAGCATAATTTAAACAAACAAATGCATTCAATCACATTAGGAAATACTCGTACTTGAACAAGAACCGCCAAAAAATGTTATGTCATCGAATGCGATGAACCCATTTGCTCTACTGGAACCCCATATACCTTAAAAACATTGTAAACATTTGTGCACATCGTTTAAGGTTTTAGGGACTCAGATTTTGCTAGACTTTTAAATAGTTTTAATCATATATATTTAATATATAGGTATTAAATAACCTTACTTTTACGTCATAATTATGTACTTATATCAATTCTTACCTTCGATCAAAATCTGAAAGAAATTAAAATATTAATATTTGTCTTGTTTTATTTATTTGCATAGGTACACATATAATAAACTTACGGCATCATTAGGTTCCTTAATGAGCGCTTGAGCATATTGCCAGTCTGGGCCTTGATGGTTATACAACCGCCAAATTGGTTTCATTATGGTACTTCCAGTGTTGTCATTACTTCGCAGATAAATACTCAAAGCGCCTAAACTTGGGCCAGTTGTATCAATAAAAGGTTCATTCATCACGAACCTGTTTTTAAATTAAATTTCTAATCAATATCTATACGTGAGAAGTAATAAATTACATAATTAATAGATCAACTATTTAAAAATAGTTATGACTCAGTTTTAATCGTTATTACAGACTATGCAGTTTTACAGTTAATTAATAAAACTTACCAGAATGACAAACAACGAGGAGTAGACGTTGTTTTGAAATCTCTTGATGTAAACCATGCACGACTTCCAGGCCGCTGGAGGGCTGTGCGTGCCAATGTCATCAAATACCCTGTAAATATTATACAATTTATAATTGTAAAAACTAAAAACTATTTATAAAATAGAGTTAACATTTCGAAAAAATTATAAAAAGTCCTTTGGTGAACTTTAAAATTAATTATTTTTTTTGGACAGCAAGATTTAAATACTTAAGGTATTAAAAATTTGCCATTTGCGACTTAATGCCGTATGCAGCATATTTTATATGAATATTAAATAGTTATAGATGTGTCAATATATTGTAGATATTATTTAGGTACGATTGAACAACTAAAAATTAAAATACATTTAACACTTTTTACAAAGCACCTAACTTTTAAAGTATTCCCATAATCCCAACCGAGTACGATAGTCTACAGTAGGTAGGTACATATCGACCACTATATTAATTCTTGCATAATTACAAAATTACTTATACAGTTATATCTATAATAGTTATTAGTTATATGCAGCCATGCAGGGCTCGCAAACGTTATATTTGACAAAAAAGGATTGAAATTTGTAAACGTTATTATAACGGAAATGATAATAAAAAATAACTAAATAAAGCAAAACAAAACATAACGATTAACAAAATAAATTATATATCATTAAATAAAACATAATTTATAGAATATCATAGAACGAAAAATAACGCAAAACGAAATATTTTAAAATCTATTTATTTAAAAGGTCTATTGGTTTCGTATAGAAACATTTATTTCATGCAAACAATCTAATAAGAATTGATTATATTATATTCCGTTTCCGGGCCTGGGGCCATTAGTTATTATTTTTAAATTTGATAGGTAAATATTCTAAACAACACTAAACGCAAAACTTGGATAACGTTTTAATTCTGTATAACGATAAACGCAAAACTTGGATAACGTTTTAATTCTGAATAACGATAAACGCAAAAATTGTGTAACGTTTTAATTGTAAATAACATAAAACGGATTTTTTTTTCAAATGCAAGCCCTGGTTATATGTGAACCATCATCTAACACCATTCGATAAATAATAATCATAATCATAATATTGGTTATTAATTACTACTTATTAGTACTAATTATTAAGTCTACAATTTACTAAAAATCGACGAAAAATATATCATAGCTTTACATATTTGCAATAAATCAAGTACCTACTAAACTACCTATATTAATTTGGGCGTAGCTATATTGTTACAAATAACCTTTGTCATAGGCCGTTTGCGCGAACCTAGCTATAATGTTTTATTGTTATAAAAAAATAAAATGTGATTAGATAATGTATAGGTACCTAAGTTTATTTAAATTCATTAATCATTGGTCATTTGGCATATTCACGATAAAATTACAAAATTATAAATTGTTATATAAAAACTATTAAAAATTAAAATGATATTAGATTGACTAGATTCGTAAATTTGTCAATCATAAAAACAAAAAATTATACGAGACATTTTGATTTTTAAGTTTTAAGTTTTGAATTATTTAAAATATAAACATTTTTAAACCTGGAATATACTCCGGTATCCGATACTCTATGCTATTGGTGTATCATAAGCTTTCATATCACAGTACTAAAACTTATACTCACTAGTCACTACTGTTAAATATTTAGTACACGTTATGTGCAAACGACATCCAAATTTTTATTTGGAAGATTATAATGACTAACTCCGATTAATTTAATACATTTATTTCAGGACATTAAATATGTTTAAATTCAAATATTTTATACTAATAAAAACTAATTACATTTTTAAGCTCTCAACTATTAGTTATCCACTTATCCACATGGCTATCTTGTAGCATTTTTTTAAATTTTATTTTCTAAGCTAAAAATACTTTAATTTATTCATGACTTGTTACCTTTTTCTGTGCCCAATGTATGATCATGAGCTGTACTTCTCAGTGCAGCCCCGGAAGTCCTTTCCCAATCAATATCGTCCAAACGCTCTCTGGATACTACATTACTCCATCCACATTCATCCACTTCGAATGTACAATCGCCAGATGTGGCTGCCGCGATTTGGGGAGCAGCTACATTACAAATAAATTATATTAAATAGGTGTATATAAATTAGATTATTTTTAAATTTAATTTAATCTTTATGAATATACATACTAGGGCAACTTCCAGGTGTCAAAGAAATGTCGTCTACAGCAATATCTCCAAGATTATTTTTACCGATTTTAGCAATTATAATTATTTTAAACGGGTTTGCCGATGAAACAGGTACCTCAGCTTGGTACCAAGAATTTCCAGCTTCTCCAGTAAGTGACCAAATATCTCTATCTTCTCCTTCTCTGGTATCACTTATCGAAATTGTCAATGTTCCAATTCCATTTCCATACATATGAGTCCAAAATCGAAGGCAGAGTGGTGTATCTGGTCCTACAAAATATAAACAATACATTATATTATCAATGATTATTATTAATTACTAATTAATAATAAATAGGGCTCGGATTTAATGCCCTTAAAAAAATCAAAAAATGCCTTTTAAAAAATCGCATTTACAACATTTACGATACAAAATAACTCTAAAATAATTCCTAAATTCCCCGGAATTGACCCTGGATTTCTTCAAAAATGAAGATAAATTTGTGAATCTTTTTATTTAAAAACCAGATTACAGATAATTGTTTTAGTACAATTCGTGTATTTATATATTATATATTTATATTTGTTCGTTATATTACTAGAAATGACCTAAAAATATTAAAAAATGCACTTAAACATCAAAAACCTCAAAAATTCAAAAAAAGTTTTTATCATAGCTAGTGCACATGTCAGGCATGTCTACTTGAAACACATTCGTATCTTGGAATTTGGAAAATTTCGTGTCAAGCATATCAGAAAAAATATGAATATTCATAAAAATTTGAGCCCTAATAATAATTAAAACACTACGTGTATCGAAATATTTTTTACCAGTTGGATCAAACTCCATGCTTGACATACGAGCCATATCACCAGGCCTTCGTGGGTATGATGAGTCAATAAATGCATAGCCTCCTTCCATTCCACCATAAATAAAACTTGATCGATCAGTTGCTGGCCCAGTAGATGGATTTTTACTTCCTCTCCCCTAAATTACAACAATATTATAGGACATAGATTATGTCTTATTACTTATTAGTTTTTATTTTTATTAGTGTCTAAGAAAATAAACCTAGTGAAAGATTGTCTATGAAATATCGAGATAACTAAAGAGTTGTTACATCAAACGCTAAAATCATTGAACTACATTTATTTTATAACAAAAATTATTTTAGTTTGTTTATTTTTATAATTTATTAGCAAGTAGTTCAATATTATACTTTATAGATTAAGTAAATATTTCTTAAACAGTTTAGTATTGTTAACATTAATTAATAAATTAGTCTAGTAAAATAAATTGAACAATAAACTATACCGCCGTACTTAAGCAAAGTTATATTTAAATTATATAAACCTACATTTTAATTTATATTATATCTTATCTGCACTTATTAATAAACTAATATAATATAGTGAATTGTTTACCAATGACCAGTTGAAATCATCATCCTCATCATTAATCCAGCCACAGAACCCGCCTTCAAATGTACAATGACCTTTACACTCTAGCCCCTGTTTTATTGCTATATTGTCTACTGCGACATAACCACGGAATTTCCTAAATGGATCTGGCAAGTCTTTGGCTAACCCTTCGAATACTACCTTTATATAATTACATAAAAATATTTATAGCCATATTTACAAAAAAAAAAGTATAAAATTATAGTTTAATCAATAATCATACTTGATGCTCTTTGTTATATGTATAAAGTACTTCTGAATTCATCCATACTTTATTGGTTGGATCCTTAGTACCCCATAATACTCTGAAAAATCCATCCGGCCGACCATCTTTATTTGTAGGTTGTAAAATAACTCTCAGTCCAGCTGCACTCAGCCCATCAACATTGAAGCTTAATAAAAAAATAAATATAAAATTAAACATAAATCATATAAATTATACTCAAATTAATTAGGTATTTACCTAAAGGAAATGCATTTCCCTTCTGCTCCCGTACTCCCAAGTACTGGGCTTTCAATGAATGCATTTTGACCTTCTCTAATAGTAATATCATCAACTCGCACTATTGGTGCAGCTAACAAAGATGTTTCGAAAAAAATGTACCCTCCTAGAACAAAATATTTAATAATGTAGATATTAATTTATAATGATATTAATATGTTAACTAACCTTTTTCTGCATCTTCACCTTGTCCTGCATCTGACGGTGGCCCGCCTAACCAATTTGAGAGTGTACCGGCTCCTAGTTCCCATTTTAAAGCAGATCCATTTCGATTTTTCCAATCACATGTTAATAACCCAGGATCAACACCAAAATCACAGGTATCTAAAAGTATTAATTCTTAATCATTAAATAATTTGTAAGCATAATATTATTTGTGCAAATAAATAAACAAAAATGTAATATTACCTGTTACAGTTCCTTGCCTTTTCTCCCGAATCTATAAAAAAAATACCATAATGAACAATTAAAAATATATTGTCTTGGTCTATAAGGGGAAAAGTAGATTCCCCCCTCTGTGAATGTGAAATGCATCAAACGATACGCCATATCGTGGATAATCTTGCTTACAAACATATTTTCTCGGAGGCCTAGGGAGAAACTGCATAAAGCAGAGGAGGATGCAGTGAAATGGATGGAGAATCTGAAGTTAAGACTGTAAGCTAGCATTCCAAAAGTTACCAATGTTGCCTGTAATTTGTAAACCCTTACCTATAATCCTATAATATATAGTCATTGTATTAGTTTTTTCGTTATATAATCTCATAGGTTATTAATATCTTGATCATTCTATTGTATTGTAATTTGTACCTTATGTTTATCATATTTTTTATTTTTATTTTTATTTTATTTTTAACCGATAATGTCATATGCAAAATAAAAATAAAATAAATTGGTCTATAAGACTGATCACTGATTGTAAAGTAAATAAATATTTTAAGAATAAATATAAGTACAATTTATATCGTAAACATAATAGTAATTTGAAAAGTAGGCACTAAGTACTTTTTAGGTTTTTGTAATAGATAAATAATTATGCCATTCGTTTTACTGAAACGATCTAAAAAAAATACTATTGTGAAATATTACAATAAATAATCTATTATGTTTATGAATATTCCGTCAAAATTTAAACTTATCAGTTAGCTATCATGAATAAATTTTATATTTCTGTTAATTTAAATATACATTTTTGATTTTTATTTGAAAAACATTCACACGCAGTACCTACCTATATCATAATATGACAGTAGAAAACTTTTACACTCATTAAAAGTGTTTATAAACTCTGCAACATGATATTTTCAAATCCCGTCACTTAAAAAGTATACAAATATACAATATTATATTATTATGTAGTGTTTTTAGATTATTCCAAAGTAGAGTGGAATATGTAAATAACTGAAATAACTGTATTTATAATAAATTAATATAAAATAATAATTCGATATTTGACACATCATATTATAAACTTAATATTAAATAGGCACAATATTATTGGTAATTACTAATTACTTTAACGTTACTAACAAATTATTTATTATTTTAAGTACCTATTTTAGTATTTATGGTGTGTATATAAGTAATATTTTATGTAAACTATAAGTTAATGAAATAATTATAGTTTGCCCCCTATGTATATGTTTACTCAACAACAAATTTAAATCCATTCAAAATCACAGGAAATGTTGTGTTTTTTTATTTTTAGAAAGTAGGTCTAAGGTATGGATACTAATATTTATAAAAATGGAAATAATGCAAGTTAAAGTTATATTATATATACAATACCTACTACAAATTACAATATTCAATAATATGTAAGAACTTTATTTTATTTTATTAAACATGACGAATCAAACATTTTAGTATTTGTTATGATTATATATTATTAGTTTGTTAAATATACTTATAATATGTTTGTCCAAAATAAAACATATGTGTAAACCGTAAAGTGTAACTAATTTTCAATGATTTTTACTGTAGGTACGTGGTTTATTTTGCTTATGTCATGATCGTTCTTTTGTTTTTGATTTTAGGAAAAAAAATTGTCATGTGACATTAGAATAGAACAATACATTTTAGTAGAAATAATTTATTGACGCTAACTGCAATAGAACAAAGCAAATAAAAAATACTTACAGATACTTTAGAGTCCGAAAATTCTGTTATAGCCCCGGGAAAACATTCTAAAATTAAATAACTTGTTATTGACAACATCAGCCATAATTTCATTTTCGCCTGGAATAAAATTAATCAATTCATTCAAATCAGTAACCATAATAAAATTTAAAATTAAATGAAATCTCAATTATTTGACATAATTTTCTGAAATCATCCAATTTTATTATACAAAATAAGCGAAGTCGCGCACATACATGGTCGCGCACTCGCGCATACATAAATATTCTTATAAATGTAATGTATAATAAGTTTAATACATTATAATATGTATAAACTAATAATTATCCCTAAAATCATGAGTATCATGAATTCATGAGTACAAAACAATATTGGTATACCTAGGACCTAGGTACTTTTAAATAAATATTCATTCTTAATAAATAATAAAATTAACTTAATATAATATTATAGGTATTGATTATATGATTATATGATAATTGATTATATGCTTTAAAGTTAAAATCACTGAACTGTATACTATGGAACGTGCATTGGGAAAAAAAACTGTCCCACCCTATAGTTGGCTGCCATTTTGATTCTTCTCATAAAATAAACAATAAAAATTATCTGCGAAATATGCGTTCCACAGGTATATAGGCTAACTGATATTTCGTGGAAGATGAGCTAATAAAATAATTCTATCAATGACAAATCATCGATAGGAACACTAACGGAATGAAAATGGCGGCACTCGATATGGTGACACTTTTCAATACATAAATTATATACAATGCGCCTTCCATGTATAGAGGAGTTCAGTGGTTAAAATACTATAAATTATACGTTTTATGCGATGATGGTAAATCACTGAAAATGATACTCAAATATGTACTCAAATTCTTTTACTTTTGTCTAAAATTATGTTTAACTCTCTTTCACTACTTATCTGGAAGTTCAGAAAATAATACAACATTGTTATGTAACTCAATGTATCAACAATAGACGCGTAGTCAAAACATGACGTTTTATAAAGTTTTAGTGAAAACGTAATTTAACAAACTATTGATTTCATTTTGAATCTAATAATAAAATTAATATTAAATCTATATAATTTAGATAAGTGTGTCAGGACGGGTGTGAAACTGTGAATTCAAGGAAAATATTAGTTATAAATATTTACGTACCTACACGTGTACGTTTAATAAAACCATACGAGATATAATCTGTAATCCTATTCGTTTTAGCAACGCGAGTTGGTAGAACCAACCGAGTACCGACGTTATTTTACAAAGGTGCCTATTCTATAGGCGCCAAACACAAAGAATAACGATTTATTTATTTCGTAGTAATTAAAAAATATTTGTATTTAGGCTTGACATTTTTAAGCATATTATTATATACTTATAATATTAATATATTTACTGTTTACATTGGCATTTTAAAAATATTAATAGGTATATAAGATTATTTTTTAATTATTGCCTATTTATACATTTATACCAGTTACCATAGTAGAAAAATAAATTACTCTTACTATACAATAAACAATATAAATAATATATGATAAAATATAATTAGTAATACAGACTGATAGAACATCTCCGCTCAGAAACATTTTTCGTATGTAATGTTTTATCATTGAATTCAAATTTAACATAATATCCATTAAGTACACTATTACAATGACCTTCTCAATAATGAGGTACACTTGACTCCTAGTGTAAAACAGAACAGATATTACCTACTTGCCTACTTCTACTTCTTTATTATTTATCTTTAAATTTACTAGGCTTACAAGTTTACAAGTTACACAATTTTATTATTGTCTGTAATTAATAGGTATAGTTACAATAAAGTAGGTACCTTTTGCTCAAATATCATTTACATTTTTAAATGCGTACGAAAAGTAGGTAGGTACAATAGATATTTAAAGGCATATGTAATATTATATTGTTGTTATAATGCTGGGTGTCAATAAAAATTGATTAATTTAATAAATCAATCATGGGACACTAAATCTTGTTCAAGGGACCAATGGGCAATGAACATGACAAGTTAACATAATTAACAAGGAGTTAAAGTGAAATATCCTTTGTTTAGTTTAAATTGTTGCCATTCGAACTTGGATTTAAAAATATTATGCAATGGGTTAACTATACTGTCATAGACCATAGTGAAACAAACAATATATTACGTGTTTTTGTATAGGTATTAGGTACCTAGGTGAAATATCATATTATAGCATATCTCAAAAATAGCTCTTTTGTAGGCATATTTTTCACTTTTCTCTGTATAATTTTGACACGCTTTTCAAATGTAGGTAATATTTAGATCATTGGTAGGTATCTATGCAATTTTCACCGTTACTCGACGCTTTCGATAACCGTGAAATCATTTAAATTACGTGCGTTTGATCACATATAGGTAGGTATTACATATTTCACGGTCTTATTTTAAATATTTTCGTTGTTATGTACGTTTTGTTTACATCTCTTTCTTTTTATTTACTATTTTTAAAAATAACAGTCGCGTAATGTTTTAAATCGTTTAAAATCGAAACCACTGTAGACAACTACAACCTACCTATATTGTTGAGAACAATATTTTGCAATAAAGAATTGTTCGACCTTTTTGCGAATAATTTTGAATCGTTTAATGTCCATTATCAAAACTCACTCACGAAGTCTGCAACGTCGAATTCGAAGGCCGTAATTTTATTTCCATGATTATATTATTATATAGCATTCCAACAAGTACGATATCAAAATTAGTAGTTATTCTATAAAACGAACACACGTATCCAGTAATTAGTCAAACTCACACTGTCCAGTGTTCACTGAAGATCAAGGTTTCATCGGTGACTATAATTACCGAATCCGCTTCAACTAAAAGTCAATAGCGTGAAATAAAATTCTGTGAACTCGGGACGCAACCGCAAAACAAGTTTAGTTTTATTGCACGTACAATAATGCTTTGTACACTTTTTTAATTTAATAAAACCTAGAAGTGCAGTCCTTGAAAATACAATTAAATGAAAATATTTTTTTTTGCATTTTAATTTTACTTGTATTAATTGTATAGGTACCTAACTGTATAAGTAGGTGGTATAGGCGCGTTTGATAACTATCCGTATGTGAACAATGAATATGTTTAAACAATAAAACATGGTTCACTTATTGTTGATATAGTTCAAACCTCAATAAAAAATGTTTATGAATATTTACTCATTTTAACGATATGCATTCCAAATTGTATGTATTTATGATGAAAAATATGATTCATAACAAATTAAGAGTTTTTATAAAAACTTTAATATTAGTTTCAGTACTAGAATTCATCTTTTCCAAAATATTTTTGGCTTAAACCCCATAAAAACTTGAAAAAGCTGGTACCTATATATTATTTTACCTCTTAGATCAAACTTACTATATACAAATCGATAATTCGTCCGACTTGGCTTTACGGCATCCAACTATGGGGGCCAGCAAAGCCATCAAACACTAAAACCTTGCAAGCATTTCAATCCATATGCCTACGCTTAATAACCTCTGCCCCTTGGTATGTAACCAACAAAAACCTCCACAAAGACCTTAATATTCCAACCCTCAACGACTTAAAAAAATCTCATTACATAAAATTCCACTCAAAACTAAGCGCCATTCAAATCCACTAATTAAAAATCTATCCACTACCTCACTCATTCCTAGAAGGTTAAAAAGAAAATGGCCAAGAGACCTACTCAATGCTTAAAAAAAAAAAAAAAAGATTAACTAATGAAAAACTATAAAAAAAAAACCTAATTTCGGGTCAGGTGGCACTGCTGGGAGCCTTCCTATTAATGTTATTTTATGTTTAATGTTCTTATTTATATATGTATTTAAGTATAGATTGTAAATATATTTGGTAAATAAATAAATAAAAAAAAACTCTTAGGTAGTTAGATATTAACTCAAGTTTTTAAGTTTGTAAATTTATTGTTTAAAGGTATTATGTAGCTAGGTATAGGTAAATAATAATCCATAATCTTAAATATTATTAATTTATACGAAACCGTTTAAATTAAAACATAATTATGAAATATAATCGTTTGTGTAGGTAGTATTATTAATTTTTTAGTGTAAACTGTATGTATTAAGACGTATACTTTAATTGTAAGCACTAGATATTATGAGAGTTAAATTTTAGGTCATTAGTGACATATCTGCCCTTAATTGTTTTATAATTGACACTATAATGAAGATTACCAACAATAAAACGATTAAAACTGGAAAAACACAATTTTTATAAATATCGTATGACCTACTTCCATAGAGGTATCATTAATTACATTTTTTACTTGTCATTTTATGATGTGCTTTATAAGAGTGATATAACCATACTAATTTCTACACATTTATCAAATAGATAATACGAGGCCAACGAATTTCATTTAACTGCAACTCTTATAAATTATAATTATTATTTTAATAATATATATTATTATATTGGTAAAATGGTTTATAACCTATTATAAAGTTGTCAGATACAACAATTTCATAAATTAATAACGACTATCAAAAATCATATATCCCGTGGTCATAAGACTAGGTAATTTAAAAGTTCTACAAGTTTTTTTATATCGATATATATATTCAATGATTGCTCAATAAAGTTATGCAACGCAATTCCATAAAATTCAAAAAATATAAATTAGGTACTAGTTTTATTATTCATTAGTAGGTATACTTAATACTTAGCTATATAAAATTCCAATGTTTTATTTGTATTTCATTTTTATAGTGAAAATTGATGAATTTAAATTTAAGTATTTGTATTAAAATAATGCCCGTTGTACATTTTAGTTGATTATGTATCAAATGAAAACAAAAATGGGGAATTCTATGTGTAAGTAGATACAAATAAATAATATTAAGAGATTTTTTTTGTTACGTTTTCCATATTTTAAAGATACTTTTTTAAATTAAATGTACATAGGAACCTACCTACAATTAAATTATCACACATGATCTTAATTTGTTTAAATTACATTTAACTAAATATAACTCAACTTTTATATTTTCAATTAGTAAATCAATTTATTACATAAAAATAAAGATATTAAAAGTAGGTAT